TGTGTGTGTGTGTGTGTGTGTGTGCGCGTGTGTGCCTATGCAAAAATTAACATATATATATGATGCTGCGCAATCCGGGCACTCCTAGCTCCTGACTGGCGACGGACGGTACCTGAGAAGAAGACGGTGAAGGATTCCCGGGGGACTTGCCCGGTGGGAATACTCCAATGCTTAAGTTAGAACACTAGAGAAAGCAGTAAAGAGTGCAGGTCGCGCTAGATCATTGAGTGTTCGAGATTAGCTCGAGATAAAGGTCAGATATGTTCAAGATACCTTTCCCCTTCGACCATGGGGCTCTTAAATATGAGCGTTCTTGTCAAATCAGGTGTAACCGCCATTGGACCTCTATCGCAGCCGTTATCTGCCAAGGCTGCGCAGGTAATCGTTGCAGAGTACTACCCAATCGGATGAGCGACACGTCTCGGAAGGACAAACACACCACCATCTGTCAAGAGACGTGGGTGCAATCTGTCGGGCTGGTAGGGACTGCGTTGTCAGTTAGGAGACGTGGTGCAGTCTGACGGGTACGGTCTTGTTAGGTAGAAGTTTCCTGAAAACATCGCATCGCTTAGTAGCGAGCTGCCTTGTAGCGAGCTATCCTGTTGCGAGATACCTTGTAGTGAGCTCCTAGGGGTACTTTGAGATGATTCCTTTTGAGGTTGCCTTAGGGGTAGTTTCTCTGCCTGAGTATCGGAGCGAGTTGGTTATCGTAGCTCACGAGCTGGGATAGATTTGTCTTAGAGTATTCCCTTTCAGTACGTCGAGGGTCCTTGAGCTCGCGCTGTAGCGAACTCACCCTGTGGCGAGCTGTGATGTAGCGAGCTGCCCTGCGGGCTCGTTAATTAGTCGCGATCAGGCCGTTGTGCTGAGCTGTTACTTGTGCTGAGTCATGTCCACGTGTCACCGTCTCAAAGGATCGGGTCAAATCACCCTCCATCAATATACATATGTATATAGTTGGGACAGATTCATATCAGATTCGGACTACCTAAGGGCTAAGCCCGGGCCTACTCCAAAAAATAGAAAAACCCGATTTTATGGGCCTAAGCCCAGCCCATGTAAAATTTTGGACTAGGTCGGTTCAGGCTCGGGTTGGGCTGCCCAAGTTGCACCTCTATGTTCTATAGTGAGCTATAAAAAGTAACATTTGTAATTGCTAATAAGATTTTATTTGTTTTCATTTGGTAGTTATATTTTAGTTATCCTACTGCATCAATATCCATTTGGTAGTTATAATATTAGTTATATTAGTTCATGATTAATGCTTTCTAATCTGTCAACTAATAATTATTTTGCACTGGACGCGTGAACCTGCGAATGAGAAAATGACACGTCGATCAGGCCAACATTAACATATGTTTGAGCGTTAATGTGGTCTGGTCGGCTCAATTGGACGGTTCATGCGGATACGAACTGGTCTGGGACAAAAGGGCCTCATTTCTTCCATTTTGTTTCCCTGAGAGCTCCTTCCGCCGAACCCTACCCATACACCAAACCCTTCCTCCACCAGCGGCGATAGAGCTCCGACGATTCATTAACGACGACAAAAAGACCTCCGGCGGCGACATATTCTTCTTCTCATCTTCTCTTCTTCTTCTACTCTCCATTCTTCTTCTTCGACAAGTAACTATGGTGGTAGGGTCAGCGATCATTCTTCTTCTCTTCTTCTCGTTGGAGTTTGACCACTATGTTTACGAGATGCACTTGCACCGGCAGAAGGTGCCATGGAAGCTACTCAAGAGGGAGACACCAGAGGTTCGAAAGAGAGTGTTTGTTTGCCCATAACCCAGCTGCTTGCACCATGATCCTTGCCACACACTTGGCGATCTCGTCAGCATAAAGAAGCACAACAATCACAAGCAAGTGGCTGGGTGTGGTTGTGCGAAGAAAAAGAATAAGACCTCTTCTCTGTGTTGCTTAAAAGAACAAGAAGAGGAGGTTGTGCCTGAATGGTAAGGTCTCTGGTGTTTCCACTCCCTTGTTGACCGGAAGAAAAGCCGAACAGACTACTACCGAGAACACTATGCCGTCTGAAACCCGAACTAGAACCTAGTGCTTGAACGGTAATGTCTCTGGTGCAGAGGCAAACCTTCTATTTCTTCTCCATTGTCGCCCTGAACTAGCGCCTAGCACTACCTGAATGGCAAGGCCTTTGATGTAGAGGCAAACCCTCTATTCCTCCTCCATCATCGCCCACGAAAATGCAATGGCATGGACTTCGGCTTCTTCAGGCCATCATTTCTAGATGGATTTATAAATTAGGGCTTTAGCTTTTTCAGGGCTTCAAAAATCAAAAATCAAAAATCAAATTCCATAGAGAGAAGAAGAAGAGAAAAGAACACATCGCCGCTAGAGGTCTCATTACCGCCATCGATCAATTGCTGGAACTCTGTCGCCGCCGATGGAGGAAAGGTAGAGTTCGGTGGAAGGAGCTCTCAAAGGGAAACAAAATCGAAGAAATTTGTCCATGTTTCAGACCGGTTTATATCTGCACGAACCGGTTCATTTCCGCGTGAACCATCTGATTGAACCGACCAGACCACATTAACGCTCAAATGGACGTTAACATTGGCCTGGTCGACGTGTCGTTTTAGGGGTGGGGAGCAGAAGAAAAACTTCCAAAGGAAATTAATTAAGATGAATGTTAGAATAGACCGGTGTAATATCAAAAGTATTCGTGTTATCACACATAGAATAGGATGCAGATAATTAACAAATTAAAGTTATAACTCTTGATGGTGAAGTGGTGAAACAAGATTTGTAAAGCTGGAGAACAAACAGTTGGAATTCAAGTCATTCTTTGTTCCCTTTACATGTTATGAAGAGAACAAATCCTTTAGTTGAATTTGATTATATATGGAGTTAAGGTAAAGAGTGGGCTCCTGCTCAACCCATTAATTCTTTCCTTCAATTGTTTTTTTCTTTTTTTTTTTTAATTCAATATTCTAGATGAAAGTATGTTTGATAAAATAACTTATGAAAAAATAAAAACACATCACCATGCACAACATTTAAAGTATCTGCTATTAGTGCACCGTTGTATTTGTGTTGCTTCTAATTAAGCGGAATTCCCATTTATAAAAAAATATGGGCATTCAGATAGTAGCCATTCTTTATTGTGGGATTTAATTAGATCTAAAAATTGGAGGATTTCTTAATGGT